CTTAATAAAATGGGAGCATAGGGACCATGGGAGAGAGTTGAAGGGGAGGGGATAGACAGGGAGGGGAGCAGAGAAAAATGTATAGCTCAATACAATCAATAAAATAATCTAAAAAGTTAACAACAACAAGAAAAGATTTGCCACTCAAATTGGTTTAATAAAACACTGATTGGCCAGTAGTCAGGCAGGAATTATAGGCAGGATGAGCAGACTAGGAGAATTCTGGGAAGAGGAAAGGCAGAGATTCAGTCACCAGCCAGACATAGAGGAAACAAGATGAGAATGCTGCACTGAGAAAATGTACCAAGTCATGTGTCTAAACATAGACAGAATTATGGGTTAATTTAAGTTGTAAGGGCTAGTTAATAATAAGCCTGAGCAATAGGTCAACCAGTTTATAATTAATTTAAGCCTCTGTGTGGTTTATTTGGGATTGAATGGCTGTGAGACTGGACAGGACAGAAACTTTCATCTACAGTCTTGTTTGTTTGGGAGCATGTGGCACTGAGGCCTCTTCACTGCACGGCAGTCAGGAAGCAAAGAAAATCAAAAATGATATGGGCATGGTGACTCATGCCTGTAATCCCAATACTGGGAAAGATAAGGCAGGAAGGTTGCCACAAGTTTAAAGGCAATCTGGGATAAGTAGTTCTAGCCAGTGTGGGTGCAGAGTGAGACTCTGTCCCAAACAAATAAACAAAGAACAACACACACACATAGGAACATGCATGCACATAGTAACCACCACATAGAGATGGCTCAATTGAAAAAGAGCTTACCTTGCAAGGCACGAGCACTTGAGTTTAGCTCCTTAATGTCCATGTAAAATTGGGCATTGAGGGAGGTAGCTCAGTGTTACCAGACAAGCGTGAAGACCTGAGTTCAGGTCCCCAGGACCCCATACATCTGGCCACAGGAGCACATCTCTCTGACCAACATTCCTCTTGTGAGATAGGAAGCAGACAGGAGGAGCCCAAAGGCTCATCATAGGTCTGGTACACACAGCATCAAACAAGATGGCTCAAATAAGGCAGAAGGCTGGGATGGGCACCTGAGATTGTCACTCGACGTCCACAGTGCCGTGGAAACCTGCAGCATCATTCACATCTACATCCATATTCACATCCACATAAAGATTTTAGTAAACAACACTGGAGCACAGGCGTGGGGTCCGACCATCAGCTACATCGGGTGTGCTGGCCCGAAGGAGCTAGCGGGCCAGGGACTCCACTTCTCCAAGATGCTATTATATTCTCTTACCTCTCAAGTGTGGATGATAATAGTACCTACCTCAAAACACACCAAGAACCATAACACATGCCCAGGTATGATGCTGGGATCTGGCCAAGTCTTTGATCTGGAATCACCTAATCTGTGCCTCTTAGAGACAACTGATTAACTCAAGAGAGCTGTACCCATCCCTTACCAGGTGCCTCCCTCTGTTCTATGAATGGATCCCCTGCTTCTGTTGCTCTGCTGTAGGAAGGTATCTGAGTTACACTTCTTGTTTGGGGCACACTGTTGGTAGACCTGGGATTCAGCCCAGGCACCTGGACTTAGAACCTGCGTGACTACCTGCTTGGTCATGGTTCTTCTTAGGAATGTACATGCTTGTGGGATGGTTGTAATATGGGTAGACAAACAGGTGTGAGTCTCCTTTATGGACCAGACTAGAGGAGATTCTTTTCCTTGGCCCATCCAGCTGCTGTGTTGGAGGGTTGGGGAGCACTGTTGGGAACTCTGCGAACACTGTATGAGCCTGCCTCCAGGTTCCACTTAGCTACAGCAGTATATTCTGGAACGTTCAATAACCGCAGCCCAGCACACCATGAGAATCCCAGGGTTTGGTTTCTTGTGTCTCTCAGGACCATAATGATGCCCTTGGATTCAGTTGTCTTTGAAGATGTGTGTTGAAGCTAGCCATGACAGTGCAAGCCTGTATTCATAGCTCTTGAGAGGTGGAAGTAGAAGGACTTAGAGTGCTTAAGGCCATCCTTAGCTACATCGTCAGTTTAAGGCCAGCCTGAACTACAGGAGACCCTGTCTCCGTAAGCAAACAAACCAAACAAAAATTAACAGAAAGCCCAAAATAAACAAACTAGTTAAAAAAAAAAAAAACCAAAGTACAGGCTGATATCTCCAGTCTAGTTAGGGCTGAGACTGGACTGTTTCTGAGGCCCTGTGTCTTCCCAGCTCATCCACAAACCCATGCTGCCACTGCTGAGTGGGTACCCCTTGCTAGAGTGCTACTTTCTGCCGATGGCAGGCAGCATCTGTCAGCTACCCCAGCAGGACTTTCTTACATTTCCAGCCACGTGCATACATCCCCCAAAATGCTGTGGGGCTGCAGGGATAATCTTCACCGGAAGCCCCCAGAAAGCTACCATTTCCTCCCCCAAATTATCAGAAAAATCTTCTCAAAGGTGCGATAAGCCTGATTGGTTTCCGGTGACCTTGAACACTGGGGTATCTATCTAGGAACAATGGTGCCTTCTGCAGGCTGCGGGACGATAAGAGGCTAGAACAAGCTGCCATGATCTTGTTTCTCACACACTGGCGGGTATGCCCAAGGGAGGCTCCTCTACTCCCACTTCCTGGCTTAGAAAGTCCTCCAAAGATAGCCAGCTGTCAAAATGGTCTGGGGCCTGTCAGCCTCTTTTCGTCACTTGACAAGGTCACTGGGCACTGTAAAGACCAGGCCGCCTTCCTCTTCCCCTGAAACAGCAGGTCACTTTGATGTCGGCTCTAGAGAAAGCCTGGGAACCACAAACTCACAGTGTCACCCCTGTGGGGATCAGTGAAAGCGGGGGGGGGGCAGAGCATCCTTCCCCAGGACGGACTCCTCCATTCTCTGTACCAACTTTGCTTCTAGCACACCGGGAGGCTGCAAATAGGGGAAGCAGACCTGCTACTTCTGCAGCCCCCCTGGAAGGTGGTCGGGTGGATGCGGATAACGAGAGGACCAGCTGGGGATGCTCTGGAGCTGCAGACTCCAAGGCTTCAGTTGGAAACAAGGATATTTTTAGGGCTGAATCTGGGTCTTTCTTCTCTCCCTCCCTCTGATGCTAAGTAGCCATCTGTATCTCCCAGGCAACCTCCTCAAGCTGCATCCTAGAAAAGCAGCATGGGGAAGCGGCTACTGTTAAATACAGAGTGCTGCATCACTCATTCACTCATTCATTCATTCATTCATTCATTCATCTGTTAAGAAAGGAGCTAGATACTGTTGTTCCCTAACATGGCGTGATGCTTTCTTTGAAGCAGTTATGGATACCCCCAATCCAGCAGGCCACTCTGTAGTGACTACTGTGTTCTGAATTTTGACATTCCTCTCCCCAGTCTTCCCATTCCTCCCCTCACCTCCGGGGTGCCTTTCAGCAATGGAAGTCTGAAAGATGATAAGAGACTCTAGCCCAAGAGGCCACAAGACTTATCTAATTCCTCTACACCGATGGTTCTCAACCTTCCTAAGGCTGTGACCCTTTAATGCAGTTCCTTGTGTTGTGATGGACCCCCCCAACATAAAATTATTTTTGTTGCTACTTCATAATTGTAATTCTGTTACTGAGTGAGTGGTGTCTCAGACCATGGGAAATAAGTGTCTTCCTGTGGACGTGACCCACAGATTGAGAACCTCTGCTCTACAGGCTGCCCCATCATCACCCAGCTTGCTCTGTTTCTGAGTTACAGCTCAGCTCATCACACCTCCCACTATGGTAAGAGTCTTTCTCAGCGGAGCCCCTTGAGATACAGGCTTGCTTGCATACCACAGAAGAGAGGAAGTATCGGCAAATTCTTACTTTTGAGCAGCCAGGTCTTCTGTGCTAGCCCAGCGATATGGTACGAGCATGCAATCCTGGCATTTTGTGAGGCTGGGAGACAAATTAGCTGTGAACTTGAGATCTCTCTTAGAGTCTCTCTGAGAGTCAGCGATGAGTGAGTGACTTGTGCAAGCTGAGTTGGGTCCACAGAAGGGAACTGAATTCTGAGGCTGCTAAGAGACAGCTCTTTAGAAACCTCAAGGGCTGCAAGGAGGAGCACACAGCAAAGATTGTAGAAAAACGGGGCCTGGGTTTGCGGATGGCTGTTGGCACTTGCCTGGCCAGGGGGCATCTCTAGAGGGTGGTACCCAGGGGAATTCCAGAGGCCTGGAGTCATGGTACTGTTTGCTTTTGCCTCCCAAGACAGCCTGCTTTCCTCCCCCTGGGTCAGTTCAGCTCCAAGAACATTTGTGGACGTTGTATTGGGACAAGCTGGGTGATGGGCTCTGGGCCCTAGGGGAGAGTCAGTCAGTCCTGCCGCTTGCCCACTTGAATCTTATTTTCTTGGTCTCTGCTGTCACAGCGACTGCACGAATGTCGCAGGACTCTCGGCCCCGAACCATTCATACATAATTTTCTCTGAAAGGATGAGGGAAAGAGCCGAGGTTAGCCATTCTACATCCACGAAAGAGAAGATGCAGTGGACCCAGATAACGCGGATGGTCTGTATCACCACTCCATTTCCCACAGCTTTAGCCAATCAGAGACCAGTTCAAGGCAGGACCTAAGCAAGGAAGACTGCACGCGGCAAAGCAAGGCATGAGGGCCCACGAGTGCCAGGCAGTCCTAGAAGTCCTTCGTTGCTCTCTACAGTCCAAAAGCCAACAGTGAGGCTGGCTTTCCAGCTGCCTAGGCCAAGCATCATGAGGCCCAGCCCTGGCCTCTCCCTTCACATCAGAACACCAAGGCCGGATGTTCACCTCGCAGCAGCCCAGGGCTGGGTCTCCGACCTGTGGCCAGAGTGGGAGCGGCCGGCCGCTCCCGGGACTGGGGCAGGGTTTCAGCCCACGTGCGTCCGCGGCTGCAGCGGCTGTAGCCCAGGACTAACTGGGAGGGCGTTGGGGTGGGTTCCGCGCTGCATTACCATTGGCCGTGCGTCTCAGGCTTAGGGCGGAGATTCGCCTTCAGAGCCTCTGTCATTGGCCGAACTTCCGATGGGGGCGTGCCCCTACCGGGTCCTCTGCAGCTCGCATATCCGCAGGCACCCGGCCGGCTCAGCCTGCGCCGGGCCGCCTTGCTAGCTCCGGGCTCGGCAGGCGGCCCGTGGGGTCCCGGATCGCTGCGCCCACAGCTGGAAACCCAGGCAGGCGCTGACCTGAGGCCCGGAGGCCCGCAAGACCTTCGGTAAGACAGAGCGGGAGTGGGTTCCGTGGCGCGCGGGAGCGAGTGGGGACCGTGCCAGTCCTGGCTGGACTCTGCGCCCTACCGGGCGCCCCGGAGGGTCAGGTGCGGCAGCTGCGTCCGCGGTCTCAGACCTACCTGCTGGGCGCCCCGTGGGCTCCCCACCAATCAAAACTGCCATTCTAGCCTCAGAAAACCCAGCACACCAGCCCAGAGTGGGCGCCCTTCGGCAGCAGGGTCGCCTGTCATCGCTCAGGGGACCGTCCCCAAACCCAAACTTTGCTCCACGCGAGATAGGTTCCCGTGCCTTTCCCATCCTCTCACTAAGCGCCTTGCTTATTTTTATTTTATTATCTTTTTCTGTCTCCCTTCTTCTCCTCCCTCCTTGATAACAGGAAGTTAAGTTGGGCCAAATGTCAGTGGCCTGGCCGCCGGCAGGCTGGGACCCAGGCTGGTTACTTGGCCGGTGGCGGCGCTTCCAGGGACCGCGCTGCTGTCCCTTCGATCTCCTGTGACCCCTGTCAGCCTGTGCTCTTCCTCCGCTGCCCCCCCCCCCCTGCCCAGGAGCACCTCATCCTTGCGTCCGGCCCTGTCGCTGGCTGGCCCTGGACTGGGGTCTTTCGTAGCCTCTGCCCCGCTGCAGCTGTCTGGAGAGGGCGGGGTTAACTTATCCCAGGCCAGCCTCAGTCTTCAGCCGCACCCTCACCGGCACAGCTGGGAAGGGCCTTTACCGACCGGGAAGAGGCGAAGAGGCGTGTTGAAACCAGAGTACTCTCGTGTCTCCTTCTACATTGTTTATTCTGGGCCTGGGTTTCTAAAGTGGAAAGTGCTCTGGTTTGCAAGGCCACTCGCTACCCACTAATGTCTTAGGTGGTTTAGAAGGAGGATAAAGTCAGTAGCCAGTCCCTTTATGGACAGACCCAGAGGGGAAAAAAGCCAGCGGCTAATTGGTCTTCCGCATTCGCGTGCCTGAGTTCCCTGGCACCTGTGTCCTCTGCATGCCAGTCGCCTCCGCGGGGGCAGTGAATCTAACAGGTGGGCCAGTAGAGCAGTCCTTGTTCACGTCCCAGAGATTTTTAAAGGCAATCAGTGTTGCCTTCTTCAGACGCTGGGAAGTGGGCACAGGTTGGGTCCCGATTTTTACTCTCCAAAAAGCCCGAGTTGTGTGTTCTTCTGGCTCTGTGCCTGCTTCCTGCTAACTTCCTACCCGTGGCTGTGGAAATATGCCCTGCGTGCATGTGCCTGGAGCCCCTGGCCGTGGAGAGATTCTGGGGCCTGCAGGAGTAGTTTGCAAGTCGCATGAAAGGACAGCTAGCGGGATGCACTGCCTCCTCCTCACTTACTGTGTCCTCCAATGGAGGGATCGGGCAGTGTTAGCTGTGATAGGGGACAGCAATGCTGCCACCTCTGTGGCCGGCTTTTCCAGGAGTCTGGAACTGTATTCATTGAACTAACTTGAACCCTTAGAAGGAACTCTAGACTTGATCTTTCTGCAGTGGATGAGGGGCAGGTTTTGGAATATGCTTCTCTCTGGTTTCTGAGTGATTGAAACCCACAGTCTGAACGGCCCCCTTCCTAGGAGCTGCAGAGAATAGCCCCAGTCCTTCTCTCCTCTGATGGGATGTGTCTCTCTCTGTTCTCTCCACCATGTCTACATCTCTACCTGGGTTTGCCTTCCAGCCTAGGCCTGACTCTGCTCACTCTCCACTGGTGGAGGACTTGACTGGACTGGAGGGGGCTGAACGTGGCTAACCCAGGAAGTCTGCAGAGTGCTAACAGACTTTATCCTTTAACGTCCAGCATTCTGAGCCTGGAAGAGAATGCTGCATTCGTAGTAGTTGGGGCTATACGCATTTTACAGAATAGAAAACTGAGACGCAGAGAGATTGTTACTGGCATCATCAGATGACTAGAGTCTCACAATGATTCTAGCTTCCAGCTGTTTGGGAAGAGGATTAAAACACCACAGGAAGCTGGGAAATCTTGGACACCCTCTGGACTCCAAGGGCTTAGTACAGACAGCCCCTGTTTGGTTCTGCCAAGTTCCCTAATGACAGGTGAGTGGGTCTTCCCACCCCTCTATGAAATGACACAATCCCCCTGGCTCTTTGTTGTCGGTTCCTTCTACACCAGTCTCCCTGGGGCATCTACCACCATACAGAGCAGTTGCCTGTCAAAAAAAAAATACTGTAAGGAAAACCGAAGTAGGGAACCCAGGTTCAAAGCCAGTCTAGCTAGGCTGATAGTAGATTTGAGGCTCGTCCTAGCTACCCAGCAAGACCTTGTCTCTACAACAAGAAAGAGCAGTAGGTATGTATCATAGACCATAATCCCAGCCCTGAGGAGGCAGAAGCAAGAGGATTGCTGCAGGTTTGAGACTGACTAACCTGGTAAATATGAGTTCTAAATTAGTCATGCCATCTCAGAAACAAAACAAAACCGACCAAACATACATACATACATATACACACACACATTTTTTCCAGAAAAATAGGGTGGTGTAATGCGCCTGCACCTTCCTCAGCTCCCCCAGTAATTAAGATGATGCTACATGAAGCTAACTCTCTGACTGTCTCTTCTGCTTTTCTCTCAGTTCTATTTTAAACTCCCCTTTAGTTATTTGTTTATTTATCTACTATATGTGTGTACCTGTATGGGTGTGTGTGCCACAGTTCCTGTGCAGAGATCAGAGGACACTTTGGAGGAGTTGGTTCTCTCCTTCAACTATGTAGGTCCCTGAGATTGAACTCAGATTGTCGGACTTGGCAGCAAGCACCTGCTTAAGCCGTCTCTCCACACCCCACCCCCCCGGGGTTTTTTTTTCTTCCTGAAATATTTTAAAGCTGATTTCTGATGCCATTGTTTATGTCATTTATCCTCTACACAATTCAGCACGTTTCACTTAAGAGAATTCCCCTGCAGAACCACGGTCCTTATTGCACAGGACAGAGACAGCAGTAATCTTACTTACAGTGTCACCTGTCCACATCCATATTGGCATACAGGCCTGCCAGTCAGGAATGACCTTTGCGGCTGTCTGCTGGAGTGACGACCTGTGCACACGCTGTATTTGGTCACAGTGAACGGCAGAGGGTCCCTTCCACTCTGTGAGCAATTAACCCCCATTCTGGGGAGTTTGTCTCCCCAGAGATGGATCACAGTGAGCCCTTGGGGACTGGAGTCCCCTCTGTCCCTCTCTGGATCCTCAGGAACAAAGCCTGCATACAGGGGACACACAGCAGAGGCTTGGTGACCATATGCTCCGTGGCATAGCAGCCACTGGAGGGGTGTGTTCTGAACAAGGGGACTGTTGGGTTCCTGTGGCTGTGGTGCGTGTTTGGAACGATGAGTCGCTCACGCTCGTGTGGCTGTGGCAGGAGTGAGCGTCAGCCCGTAAGCATCCTGAAATAATAGGAAAACTATTTACGACGCTCGCCCTCGTCTCTTTGGTCTGTGGTGTGGCGCCCAGATGGCCACGTGTGTGCCCTCAGCAGCAGCTGGCCCAGCACATCACACATGGCTGACAGCCACTGAGGTCATTCTGCCCAAGCTTTGAGTTCAGTTCTGTCAAGACCAAGTTGTGAGTCTGACACGGGGCTAGGTAGAGAGCCGGGTGCATCTTCTCCCCTTTCTTCCTCTCTCCTCCCAGTCAAGGGTCTCCCTGCCACAGCCCTCCAAGGGAAGACTTAGGGTTTTGATTTTGTTATCTTGTTTTTTTTTCCTTTGAGCTTTTTTTGAGAAAGGGTCTTATGTAGCCCAGCCTGGACTTGAACTAGATATGTAGTTGAGAATGGACTTGAACTCTTCGCTGCCTCTACATCCCAAGTGCTGGGATTACACATGTGTACCCACTATCCGTACTTCATCTTTTATTTTAGTTTTTTTCAGCAAATATAACAACATTTTAATGCTTCTGTTAGTTATGTCAGTATTTGAGTTGATATTTTTCCTTTCTTATTTTCTCTTTGGGGTCTTACATTGATTGGTTTTATTACTAGAGACCGAAGCCTGAGCCTTCTCATGTGTGTTAGTCAAGTATTTGACCACTGAGCCACAGCCTTTGCCCTCTTTAAAGTCTTTAATCTTGAGAAGTGGTCTTCGTAAGTTGCTCTGAAGCCTAGGAAGGCTTAGAACTGAAGCTCCTCCCGTCTCAGCCTCCCAGAGACCTGGGATTGCAGGCATAGACCACGAGGCATGACATCACTCTTTATTTTTTTTCTCCCTCAATTTTTTGTATAGTAAACATATTCACATGATAGGAAATCCATATTCTAATCTCTCTAAAGCCAGGCCCTCAACTGCTTGGGTGACTGTGGTCATGCATTGGTCACAGCTGTGTTTATTGATAGTACCTCAGTTAACTGGGATTTTGAAATTTGCTCAGATCATAATATTGTTTGTATATTAGGTTCATTTTGTTATTCTGGAGGCAGCACCGAGCAGTAGAGCCCGGGGCTTGGGCCTGCCTGGTCCAGGCTCCCCTGCTCTGAGTTGCCTCTTGGGAAAATCCTGATGGACAAACACCTGTGCACCTCTCTCTAGGGTACTCCAGCCCTCCCTATACTAGCTTCTCTCTTCTTCTGGGCACCAGCCCCAGACATGGCTGGTCCCTGAGGATAGGTGCTCCTTCTAAAGTATGAATCCTCCTGTGGCCTGTGGCCGACATTAAAGCTGGCGGGAGTGATGGTGACTGGGCCCCCTCTGCTCATAATCTGCTGCTGCCGGGTTGCATCACCCTGAGTCTGATTTGGGGATGCTCCCTTCTCTGTCAGATCTTGAAGAACCATCATTATCCCTGTGCCCCAAGACCACAGCACACAGCCTTTTGTGTATAGAGTGCCAGATGTGGTCTGGTTACTTCCACTCTCTTGCTCTGTCCATGTGTTCACATCTGAGTATCACTATAGTTACCACAGGAAGAGATCCCTGGTCAGTGCGTGTGCAGGTCACTGTGTCTACATAGTTAATACTGTGTTTGCCATGTTGGAGATTTTAGGTTTTTGTTTTGTTTTAGCTTGCTTTTTACAAGTTCTCATTGTGTAGCCCTGTCTGACCTTAAACTATATAGACTATGCACAGACATCTGCCTGCCTCTGCCAAGTGCTGAGATTAAAGACCTTTGCTACCACTCCCTCCATACTTGGTTTTTATTTTAAAGACAAGGTCTCATGTAGCCCAGGCTGACCTCAAATTTATTATGTATGTAAGAATGACCTTGAGTTTATGAATCCCCTGTCTCACGTAATCCCTGAGTGTTGGGGTTATAGGTATGCACCGTGGCCTTTTAATACAGTGCTGGATTTTACATCCAGGCAGTTTTCTGTGTAGGGACAAGCACATTCCCAACTGAGCTACAGCCCAGGCCCTTAGGGTGCTCTGTATGTGACTCAACAGAGGACCGTGTTCCTTCTTCCCAGAATCTTCATCTCTCTGTGGCTGCCTGGGTACCTTGTGGCTCTAGCATTTGTCCTATAGTGTATCCACATTTATTTCAGGGTATTAAAAATATTACAGCAGACCCTTTCCCGGGCAAAAAGGGGGGTCCAGAACTCATGTTCTTTTAGCTGGCTGCAGAGCCAGGCAGCAAGGAGCTAGACATTTGTTGCCGGCCCCGCACTGTCAGAGCCACAGGTCAGTGGAACATTCGCAGGCCCAAGTTTCAGACACACCCAGCCCAGAAGCTCAGCACAGGCCAGAAACAGGAGTGAGTGTCTAGAACATTCTGTCCTTCATATCAGTGTGCTGAGCTGCAGGGACTCCTCTCTGCTCACAGACTCTGAATGCTGGCCTTGGCTGTTCATCTGAGCACTGGTTCTGGGAGCCAGGAGCGTGAGGAGCAGGGGAGGGTGATGACATACATGCGGAATAGTCACGCAGACCTTTTAGTCACTAAAGAGAGCTGCTTCCTGGAGTAGAGCAGACCCAGGTCTGTAGGATTCTGGATGCTGACTCCTATGTTGGGTGCCTACTCATCCTAAGGTGCCATGTGCAGTGTTCGTGGAGTTGATAGCTCCACGTGTTGGGGCAGCTCGGTCTTTAACACTTGAACACACAGACCGTAATGGGCAAGCGTTTTTTTTCTGAAGGAAGTGGGTGTATCTGACAGTCAACTGAAAGGGTAAACAGAGTGGAGGGAGGGCACACGCGTATGTACACACTCTAACATGCACATGGATGCATGGTGCTCACCCAGACACACATGGGTACACTGTATTCACTAGTTCACACACATGGTACGTAGTTCTCCCCCACCACACACCACACACACACACACACACACACACACACACACACACACAGGCATGGTACTTGCCCCATCACCGACATACACATGCACACAGACATAGATGGGTGGTAAGACACTCACTCCATACAAAAGGAACTAGTGAAAACCCAAACCTCCTTTCTTCCCTCAGCCTCCATCCATGGGTTCTTTTCACAATGGTGGTTGGTGTTCCAAACCATCTGTGGAGATGCTGTGGACACATTCTTCTTCCCGTTCCACACTCTGCTTTTCCTTTTGACTGTTGGGCAGTGACCCGGATGGGAAGAAACAGGAGTCACGGGGCCCCAGCGACTCAGCAATGAGTTGGCCAAAACTTAACGATTACCTTCTCCACGAGTTTCACCCCCTGACGGGGACGTCAGAATCCTGTTGCGTTAGATCTGAGGGATTCGGAGCAGCTGGGCACTGAAGATAAACATCAGGGGCAGGTGATAGAGGCAAAAAGAAGCAAGCAGGCAAACGAAGCATGCTATAACAGACATGGGTTCGAATCCTACCCACGTGGTCTTGGAAAGCGTGTGAACCCTACCATTTAGCCTACAAAGAAGAGGTAGTCACACTTAAGTCAAGACTGATGTGGAGATGAAATTAAAATACTTACAAAGTGCCCTGCATAGGTGTGTATTCCAACACCTCTTTTTTTCTACACATAAAGAGTGATCAATTTCCATAATGAACACCACGAATGGGCTCCTCCAGAAGCCCCACTTTGGGTCTCAAGCTTTGGTTTTCCACAGAAGTCAGCCAGGTCTCTGTTTCCCAGCAAGCTGAGCTGCTTCTGTCTGCCTGTCTGCTCCCCCAGCCCACTCCCTGCGCTTGTGGCACCACCTCCATCCCACCTAGCCCGTCAGCAGCCCTTCCTTCTCTGCCCTTCACCTCCGCCCCACTGGCTCTTCCTCACTTCCGTCCCCTCTTCCCTGGCGAGCAGTAGCTTCCTGGAGAGGGCTCCCTGTTTATGGTTGCTCCCTGGGGTGTTTATGCTTGCCTCTCTTCACAAGCTCCTAGCAGATGTCTGTTTATTGCTGAAACCTCATCTTCAGCCAGAAAGAGGAGAGGACTTTTTTATTTTTATTTTTTTTTTAAAGATCTCTAATTGCAGAGACTGCACAATGCGGCTTAGATTGCCTCCGAGTCTCACTCGTCATTGCTCTCCAGCTCTGCCCATTATGAAACCCTTCAGATGTTGGCAGAGAGACCTTATATGTCCCGATTTCAGAGCGGCATTTAAATTTAGCATCCAGTTGTAACCACTTAGAAAGGGAGTGAGGGCAACTAACAGTTTGTCTTCTATCCTGGCTCAGCAGATGGTGTGAATGAGAGGAGCATTTTTTGTATCCATAGCAACGGCAACCCTCTCTCACACCCCCTCTTTCCACCTGCAGGGTTGAGCAGGCACTCAGAGGCTGCCATGAGATTAGCTGGCAGCTCGGGAGTTTCATCTTTCCCTTTGGACTAGGGTGGGTCTTGAGGTGCTCAGGGTAGGGGCACTGGAGTAACTGTAGGTGATTCTGACCTCTGTGTCAGAGGAGGAAGAGAGAGTGTGAGTCACAGTGCAGTGGGATGTCAAGTTGGAAGGGCCCTCTGATGTCATGGTCATAGAATTCTCACTTCTGCCTTGAGTCTGCGTGTGTAGAAAAAGGGGCTCAGACATGTGTGTTTATTTTTATTTTTTGAGGCAGGGTCTTATCATGTAGCACACAGTTGGCCTTGGCTTACTGGGATTTCAGGCATTCACCCATGTCCAGCCTTCCTTAAGGAAGGACAGTGTAGTGTAGGGTGAGCTAGGGCTTCGAGATCTTTCCGTATCAGAACACATCTCAGAACCTTGGGGATTGAATTCCCACCTTTGTTTTCTTGGCCTCTGATACAAACCCAGATTTTTTTCAGAGACAAGGTCTCACCTATATTGACCTGGCTGTCCTGGAACTCACTATATAGACCAGGATGGTCTCAAACTTACAGAGATCCATCTGCATCTGCCTCCCAGGTGCTGGCATTAAAGGCATTTGCCACTACACCCAGCTCCCAAACCCAGATTTTACCTGGGAAGGGCAGCTGTCTGTAGAGATTGGTTTGTCTCAAATTTGCTATCAGCTGAACCTTGAGCGAACACACCAAGAGCCAGTTGGGAGCTGTGGAGGAGGGCTGCAGAAAGGGCTATAAATAGGAGCTGGGACGGTGGGGGGGGGGGGCTACCAACAGCTGTAGGCTCAGTCTTGTTAGTGCCCAGCACAGTGTGCAGCTGTTATACTGGGGCCCAGATCCAATTGCCCTTCCACTGCCCAGAGTGAGGTATGTAGGACCAGTCTCTTGCTGCTCCCTGCACGCCAGGGTTGGGTATGGAACACACACAGGGGGTGCCAGTCAGAGGAGGTAGAAGGGGTAGGCCAGCTTGTTGGTCACAAAACCCCTTGGAAGATGAGCAGGGTGCCCTCAATAGAAATGAGTAGAGGCAGGATCACACAGGGGTGCGGGCAAGTAAATGACATATGCAGGATGTGAGCAAACCCAAGAGGCAGAAGGAAGGCACCAGAAAGGACTAGGGCACCCAATCCTTGGGTCAGGTAAGTTTAGGAGCCTGTACCGCCCTCCCAACACAGAATGCTAACTGAATACTAAACGGTTGTCTACACTGAGAGGTACCCGAGAAGATGGAGCGGAGCAATGAAGGCAAGGCTCTGGGTTTTGTCTTGTAACCTGCCTTATGGTTACAGGGTCTGTGTATGCAACCCCCTCTTGCCATTTCTACGTCCAGTGACTCGTTACGAAACTCCCCAGCTCGGGTTGTAGAAATATGGTCCATCCATCCTTTCCTGTAGCTTGTGGTCTGTAGAGAAAAAAGCAACTGCCCCCCTTACACCCTTCCTTCCCTTCTTCCAGGTCATTTTTAGGGGAGGAAATGCAGGCGTAGAAGGTACTGACCCCAGAAGCGGACCGGATCAGGAGGTTCCTGCTCGCCTGTGGTAAGTCAAAACAGCAAAGGTGGGGGGAGGAGAGGGGAGGGGAGGGGCCCGTGGGTTCCCTCCTCAAAGGATTTGGAAGAATCATTTCTGTAGGGGTCAGAAGCTTGCAGAACCCAGCAGCCCATCTGACATGCTGCTGATTCCTCTCGCTTTCCGAATCTCCCTTCCCTCCGTGTGCTGGCAGGGAAGGGGAGGTGAAGGCCCTGCTCAGCATCCACCTGCTGCTGATGCTAACCTGGTGGGTGGGTGGCATAGTAACTTGCTGTGTTTACAGTTGTGATGTTTGAGCAGTGCTGCAGGCACCTGCCTTTTGTGTCTGTCTTGGGGACACCCTGGGTTTATGTGATGGGGTCAATTGCCCTTGCAAGCTGCAAGTGGAAGGAGTTGAGTATTCCTCCAAGGGAGCTGGGGCTCCCTTGTGATAGGAACCTTCTCTTTTCTCTCTCCCTCCCTCCCTCTCTTCCTGCAGCCCTCCATTCCTCTCCCCCTGCCTCTTGCTCTTCCTCCTTTTCTCTCTCTTCCTCTCTTCCTCTTCTCCTTCCTCTCCATGTCTCTCCCCTTCTTCCTCTTCTCTTCTCCCTCCCAAGCCCCCTTTTTTCTTCGCATCAGTTGTCTCAGTGGGAGCCCAGGTTGGCTCTTCCATGACCAACTGACCACTGGGCCCATTTGAGCTTCAGTACAAGACCTCTGATGTACTGTCTACTGAGGCAGGTTGTCACAGGCAGAATTGGACTTTCAGTCTGGTTTAGGGACATTATTTACCTCACAGGATGCGTGTGCAGATTAAATAGGGCAGTGGGTTCACCATAGCCACCAGTACCTGATGCACTAGTGGGGTCTTTTTTCTGGGTCAGGGTTCCTCTTGCCCTCAAGCCTCTCATTTGTATTGTTCCATAAGTGACGTTGCCCTTAAGCAATGGATGTTTAAAGAGTGCCTCAGTTGGGACACGTCACAGGCAATGAAGAGATGGGCAAGGCTTGCCTTCTTGGTGAGGCCAGTACCCCACTGGACACAGAACTGGATGGTGAGGAAAGTCCCGATTCCATCGAGAACTTCACTTATTCCAGTTGCTGTCATTTAAAATTTATTACTCTATTAGACATTAGACAAATATTTTTATATTATGCCTGAGTTTTGCTTGTTTAGATTTTTTTTAGAGTACAATTCTCATTCTGTAGTCCAGGCTGGCCCGGAACTCAAGCTTTCTGCAATATAAACTCCTCAAACTCATTTGCTGTATAGACTAGACTGCCCCGACCCTCCCATCTCAGCCTCCTATATACCAAGGCATGCAGCAGCAACTTGGCTTATTCCGTATTCCTCTTGTATGCGTATGGAAAGAGAATGAAATTGGTTACGGTGTTTCTGAGCTGTCTTCATGCTCAGGTCCAGCTCTTCAGCATCTCTTTCTGACCTGCCCTAGTCAGCTCTAACTATCAACTTGACACAGACCACAGTGACCTGAGGAAACTCTCAGCTGAGTCACTGTCTTTATCGGGTTGGTCTGTGACAAGACTAAAAGACTCTGTTGATTGTGATTCAACAATCATGCTGGTTAATTTTTAAATTACATTTTATTGATTTATTCGTGTATTCGTGTGGATGGAGGCAAGAGTGCCTACCACAGAGCACACATGGAGGTCCGAGGACAACCTGCAAGCTTGGGTCCTCTCTCTCTACCATGTGGGTCCCAGGGTTGAATCCAGGTGGGCAGGCATGGTGCCTTTACCCTGTGAACCCTCACTGTTTCCTATTCTGGTTAAATCTGGACTTTGTCTTGTTTCTCTTGAGGCAGGGTCCCAATTTGTCGTTCAGGTTGTTTTGAACCAGCAGTCCTAAACCAGCAGCCCCAAGCGCTGGGATGTGGGCATGCATCGCCTTAAATGCTGACTTGTTAAATCCCAAGCAGCCTTGCTCTGAGGATGATTTCAGGTTTGCATGTAGTGACCCCAGACAGCACGCAGGTCACCACCATACAGGGTTCTCAGAGAACCTTATGGCGCAATGCTAAGAGCACCCTTTAGGGAACCCCAGACTTTAGCCAACTTGCTTTGGGGACACAAATTCCAGCTGCCTTATGAATTCCATCCTGTTCCTTCTCTGACCCATGACAAGATTCCTACTGGCGACCACCTGAGATCTGACTGCTACAACTCTTCACCTGCTTTGACATCATATACCCCCTGTTCCCATAGGGTTCTGGGCCCACTTTCAGGTCTGGGACTGGACTGCCTCTCGGATACAAAAGCCACTAAGCTATTAAGCATCTCCTCTCCAGATGTGTGCAGTGCTCTGGGCTAGAGCTTATTGGCCTGGAGGACTTGAACTCATTAGAACTGTTTAGACATCTTTAAAAACAAAACAGGGCTAGGGACAGAGATCGGTGGTAGAGCGTTTCCCTAGAGTGCTCAAAGCCCCAACTGTGAAAAACTGAGAACAGTAACCAACAATAAGAAAAACATATAATCTAAATCAAGTTCCCATCTCATCCGAGTGCGCACCCCGTGTCGCCCTGGGGTAGGTCCTTGTGTCTGCCTCCCTCCCTCTTCTCAGGCACGAGACTGGAATCACATTTCCGAGTTGCAGCCCCGGCCAGGTCTAGGAGCTCGCTTCTCCCCCAGCTGTTAGGAAGGTCTGTTGTCCTCAGATCCCGTGTACCAACTTCCCCTTTTGTGGCTCACAAACTTCACAGGAAATGGTTGTTTTTCCTCCCCATTTCCTGTGTCCTGGTCACTCGCTGGCTCTGTCTTTGCTGTGGGAAACTAAGGAAGCTGCCTCCCTCTTCTGGAAGGTGAAGGTCTCTGAGAGGCCAGGGAGCCCTAGGCAATAGCCCCTGGGGTCTACCCGGCCCTCAGGACCAGCAGCTCTCTCTGCTCAGCTGAATTCATACTAGCTGTGGACTGGAGGCTTCCATCCTGAGGCACCCTCACCTCAGTCCTGTCTCCTGTGGGCTCTGTCTCACAGGCGGTCCGCGTGAATATTGTTTCTCCCCTGCACTGGTGCGAGTCCGTCTCGTACAAGGCTAAAGGGACCACAGCAGTGGGGGAAGTCAGCTGTCAGTTACAAGAGTGGACTTGGCTTTCTGCATGCAAATGCTTGAGGAGCATCGTCAGGAGGCCGCTCAAAACGGCCTACCTGCTCGATTGGCACACTAGCCAGGGCCCAAGAGAAGGGAAAATGTCTTGAGGTGGGTGGGGAGCTTTCAGGATTTGGGATTTGAGAATTCAGTGAGTATATTCCCTACCCCCTCCCTACCACCACAGTCTCAGGTAATCTGGGTATGTAATTAGCTAATTGGAGCTGTTGAGGCCTTGTGGAAAGAGTGTGGTTTCACGTCTGAGTCAGGCCTCTGTTGATTCCTGCTCACCTGGGCCTCAGCTGCTCAAGGGTGCAGCAGTTGCCGCAGCCTTCTGTGCTTGCAGAGGCAGTGGGAAGACCATTCTGTCCTCCAGGGTCCAGCCCAGCCTCACACAGAACGCCTTGGAGACACGGCCTCCTCTAGCCCACCTGACTCATCTTCCTGCACAGCAGAAGGAATTGGAAAGCAGGTTTGGAGGGCTCACACTTGTAACCCAGAACTCAGAGGGACTGAAGTCGGGGGAACCCTGGGAGTCCAAGGCTAGCTTGTGCTACAGAGTGAGTTCCGGGATAACCTGAGCTATAGTGTGATATCCTGCCTGCAAAAGAAAAGAAAGTCACTGGAGCTTCCGCTGGCCTTGTAAGGTCGGCTTGCTGAGAGCGTCTGACTGTTTGCTGAGATCTCGCGCTCAGCAAGCTGAGTCTCCAGTGTGGGTTTCAGCTATGAGTCACCTCCACCTCCGCCCTGGTGATTCCTCTGCTAGGCTCCTGCCTCTGAGGGAACTGCACTCTGAACCCCTGGCTTGCCAGAACGAACCAGACACTTCACTTTTCCAGGCCTGTGGGGCTTTGCAAACCACTTGGTGGGCCCTACAGGGGCCTTTGAAGACACAGGTCCACAGCTGCCTGCACAGATAAGCGAGCAGCAGCCAGGTTAGGGGACTGATGGTGGGTATGGGAGAGGCCAGTGCAGGGAGGGGCTGTTGAGAAGGTGGCTTGTTTATACCCGGAAGTGAACTGAGAATTGTTCGCGTCCCTACTGTGCGCCTGTTCCCTGTGTTTTGGGGACATTGGAATTCATCAGGCTTGGCAGCTCTTCCCAGAAAGTTTACAGTGCCAGGAAAGCAAGACACACGTGTGTGTAAACAAGTGTGTTTAAACAAGCGTGTGTAAACAAGTGCAGCAGCAGGCTGCGGGGGATTTGGGAAACGTCTGGACTAGCCATGAACTTCCTGGTGACGACAGGGGACAGAGGGAAGGCCTTGGTGTGAGGAATGTTCTCTCTGGGCTGCAGAAGCCTGGAAAGGTTCCGAGGAGGGGAGAAAGCGGTGGTGGTGTCTGGTGTGGATCTTGAGGGGTAGGCGAAGTGCAGATGGCAAGTGGGGTGGGAGGAAGCACGGAGCGTCTGTCTCTCCCTCTGCTCACACTGGAGGGAAGAGAAAGAGCCGGTAGGAAGGTAGGAATAAGCACAGACTCTGAGTCATTGACCCCGGACATGTAAAAAGAGGCAGGTACCCATCGACCCCTAGGGTCAGTGCGGCAAGACAGACAGGGTTTGATGTCCATCTGTTCTGATCTAGGTAGCTGCAGGTGCAGGAGCAGGAGGGCAGGAGGCATGCTGGCTGCGTGTTTACCACGGCTCCCCCAGGAGGGTTCTTCCCTTGACATTTTCACCTTGCCTGCGCTCAGGCTGGTCTTGAGCTTTGCTAGGTAGCCAAGGATAACCCTGAGCTCTTGCTCCTCCTGCCTCTGCCTTCTGAGTGCTGGGCTTACAGGCACACCACTGTACCTGACTTTATACAGTTCAGGATTAGCGTGCACGAAGCTCAGGATCAGCCCCCCCCCCCCACATGCTAGGCAAGCATTCTACCTGCTGAGCTACAGGCACAGCTCTCCCCGGACATTCTCAGGCCTGTTGAGC